TCCCCATCCTACAGCAGATCAGCCAAGGGTGCTCTTGCAAATACTGGAATGAGTATGAAATACAATTTTGGAGAGACCTTGCTTCATTTTTCTGGGTAGCCCTAGAGTCCAGCAGTATCATAACAGAATCCCAGATACGTTACTTCCTAGTGCACCACACGCTGAGAAGCTTAAAACTACAGTGCGTGATCTACATGTAGTTTGGGAAGCCGGAAACTTGAAGTCAAGGACTTGGCAGAGCACCACTCACTCCAAGACCTCCAAGGAAGCACCCTTCATTGTATCTCCCAGGTTCTGGGAGCCCTGGGCACTCCTTGGCTTGGGGCTACATGGTTGAAATCCTTACTTCTATCCTTTCTTTTTTTCCTGTGTGTATTTATGTCTTCTCATCTTCTTCTCAGGACACCAGTAACATTGAGTTAGAGCTCGTGCTAATTAAGTATAGCCTCTTGTGTGTGTGTGTGTGTGTGTGTGTGGTGTGTAGTGTGTGTGTGTGCGCGCGCGCACGTGTGTGTGTTGGTCGGTGGTACCAGGGGTTGAACTCAGAGCATTGGCACTGCGCTACACACACAGACCTTTTTACCTTTCACTTTGATATAAGGTCTCTCTTGCTAAGTTGCCCAAGCTAGGCTCAAGCTTGAAATGCTCCTTCCTCAGCTTCCCAGAGTGCTGACGTCACAGTTATGCGCCACTGTGCCTGGCTTCCCCCGGTCGGAAATTGTTGGCACCTGCAAAGATCCTTTTTCCAAATAAGAACACCTTTATAAGTACCAAGGTCAGGAAAAGCTTGAGCTTATGTTCTTGATGGACACAATTCAACCCATAGAGTTAGGAAATACTGTGACTAAAGAATAATTTAAAGGGACAAAAGGTGCGCACACTCCACTCTCCCTCCATTTGCACGCAGATAGGAGAGCCCAGACACAGGGAGGAGGGAGGGCGGGGCGGTTCTTGGAAGTTCTTGCAGGCATGGTGTGGTGTGAGGGTGTGTGAGGTTAAGGTCAGACAGGTTTGGGAGGGCTTAGCCTCAGGAACCAGGCTCTCTCTTTCGGAGCCCCTTCCTCAAGCTCATCCTTCTCAGACTCCTCTCACAGCTTGGCTTCTTAAACTGGGAGCTCTAGGGAATCACGCAGGGATCTGCTCACTGGTGTGGCCCTGAAACTGGGGATGGAAACCTTGCTGTGCATGGTGGAATCCAGTTTAGAATTGTAATCTTAGTCCCTGAAAGCTGTGCTGTTGCTGAGGCCATCTGGCCTTGTGAGAGCACCTGCAGAAGACAACACTGTGGATACTGAATGGTAATTTACAAGGACTTATCTAGCCTTGCATTTGTACTTTGTGGCCAAGAAAACAGAGATTCCCAATGTGAAGTGACTTGGCAGGCATCACACAACAAGTACACAGCAGAAGAGGGAGTGGAACCCTCACCTTCTGACCCTAAACCCTGGTCTTTCATTCCATCTTGATGTCTGCTTGTGTCTCCCTAGAACTTACTGGTCAAAACCTTCATTCCCATGTGGTACTATATGGAAATGGAGGCCCTGGGAGCTTCTGAATGGAATTAATAAGAAGAGATAAGGAGCTCTCTCCCCCACGTGAAGACACAACGAGAACTGCAGAAAACCCAGGACACAGGTCCTCTTCAGTCCCAGGACCTGCTTCCAGACTCTGGACTTCCCAGACTCCAGAGCCAGGAGAAAGTCTTGGTATTTAAACTCCTTAGTTTTGGTGCCTTCTTACAACAGCTCAAAAGGTGAAGGTGACGCTTCTATAGGAAAGAGAGGGGGAAATAAAAATGATTAAGGTATGATATGTACATGGATGTAATTATTATGTATCAACCACATCTGCTAATAAAAAATAATAGTTTTTTTAAAGGGAGAAAGAAAACAATAACAGTCTGGGTGGAGACAAGTTTCTCTTTAGGTAGAGGAAAAGTATGAGAAGTTTAAAGGCTTCTGTCCAGATCTAATCAAATTGCAGTCAAGTCCAGGGAAAGGTGAGAAATGCATTGAGCCTCAATGATATTCTCAATTCCTTTCTGTTCCCCTGAGCCTGGAGCTTGTGGGAGACATTCTCAGGATGGGAGTGAGCAGGGAGAGGAGGTCCTTGGCAGTGAGTCCCACGGCCCAGCCTTGGGGGGGTCTGTGCTGAGTGAAACCAGCAAGGCAGTAGCTTCGGGGTATGGGTGCCTGGAATCAAACAGAGGACTCACCTTTGGTTAGCCGAAAGGTCTCTTGCAGTCTGCTTCATCACCAGGGTTCACCTTATTCATTGGTAAAACTTGCTACCTGCCTGGAAAGGCTGAGGTATGGCTGGCATAGATGTTGGCTCCTATTTCCTTCCTCCCTCCATCCCTTAATGCACCCTTTGCTCCAGGGTCTGGTGTCCCCGGTGACACACGTGCACCTGGAGATTCATGTGTATGGAATTAACCTCTATCTGACAAGGATAAAGGCCGTTCATTCACGGGTTCAGTGTGGGACTCTGGCCACAAAGCGTATCCTAGCTTGTCTTCCTTGTTGCCAAATGAGTGATCTGACTTGTATAAATGGAAGCACCTAAAAGCCACAGGTGATGAAAAAGAACATTGTAAGTCATTCATGTATAAGTGATAGTTCATAATCACTGCAGGTTAGAACAGGCACCCATTGGAGACTGGAGGTCATAGTTGTCACCAAAGATGGACCCAGCCTGGGGAGAAGCCTGGGTGGAGAGGAGCTTGGAATTTGGAAGGAAGAGCTGGACTCAGCAGAAGCTTTGGAGTTTGTGGAGGAACTGCAACTTATAAATAACCAAAATTTATCTCTCATGGTTCCAGAGTCCCCAGAAGCCCAGTCAAGGTGCCAAAGGATTCAGCACTGGGCATGGGAGTAGTGGTTTGCTGTCTGCTTTCAGGATGGTGTCTCTTGCTGTTGTCCTCATGTAGTGAAAAGGACAAAGTTTCCTTGGACTTCTTTTATAATCTCTTTCATGAGGGTGGAACTCTTGGGACTCAATCCCTTCTCCCAAAACCCCACTTCTTAATGACTATCCCCTTGGCTAGGAAGGCCCAATATGTGAATTTTGGAGGGAGACAAAGTGATTTGCCCAGTGGTCACAGCATGATAACAGTACAAATGGGGACCCAGGACCTGCTTTCTCTCACCTTTGCCCTTAGTCCCCAGAGTCCAGATCCCTTTGTCCTGTCCTAGGTCCAGGATGGCAGGAAAGGGCATGAAGGATCTATCACCAAATGGATGAGAATGAAGAGTCCACTGGCTAAGTCTTCAGACATTTGAAAGTTAAGGAAGGGCTTCCTGGGTCTGGGTTCCAACCACACATGAACAGATGGGACAGAACACTATCCACACAGGCACTCCCCAGGCAGCGGCTTCTTCCTGCTTAAACACAGGCAAGGAAAGAGCATCCAAATTGGATTGGCTTCTCTGTGCCCTAGCAAATGCCACTGGCACTTCCATGCCTTCAGGAGCTACTTTCTAATGATGTGCAGCTTAGAAACCTAGGGGTGGAAGAGAATTGAGCAGCATGGTATTTACCAGGCAGTAAATTACACACGAATGGACAGTTACTTCCTGAGTACTTCCGATGTGCCAGGCACTGGGCCACAGGTCAGCATTCGGAGATGACACCTCACCACGAGAAACACTCTGCGTTTTCTGGTCTAACTGGCTGGAAAGGCTTTGTTTCAGGTGTGCCCTCCTGCATGCTACAAACTCATCTTTGGGAGGTGGGGGTGTGCTCCATTCAGGTTGGTGTTAATGGTGGTAACTTGGGCAAGTCTCTCAATACTTCTCATACAAGGTTCCCTCTGGATACAGTGCTGCTGCCCTCTCTTCCCTCATCAAGAAACTCTGTTCTTTCATTACGACTCCTTCTGGGATAACAGCTGACAGACCCAGGCAGATGGGGTGTCCATTGAGGGGGTTGGTATCCACGTATGCTGCTCACCCCAACTTCATCCTACTTCCTGCACCTAGCTGGCTCCCCAAGCCCTTGCACTGAAATGACAGGAATGGTTGCAGTGTGTCAGGACAGAGCTGAGCTGCTTTGGCCTGTCATAGGATAATCCAGGTGCACCATGCATGGGAACTCCTGTAGAACCCTCAAAAATCCGCCATTGATGCTGAAAAGGGTAGCCAAGCAATGGGCTGGTAGAGTTGGCTCCCCTTGGATATTTTCCTTCATTTTCATAGCAAATACTGCTTTTCCTAAGGAATCCTAGATCATCTGTGCCTGGTTACACCAGAACTGTTATGAAAATCTCTGGGTTCTAACCATAAAAAGAATAAACAAGCATGGGTTAAAAAGTTCGGGTGCCATCCTGGCTCTACCACTTGTGAGCTGTTTTTCCTTGGACAAAATACACATGTTCCTAGGCTAATTTCTTAATCTGTGATGGGAATGCAATTTATCTCCTAAGGTTGCTGTGTGCAGGAATCCAGTGAGCTACGGTACCTAGATGGGGCAACATAGGTTCAAATATGATAAAAGTATATTAACAGCCCTTCTATTGCTGCAATAAAATATTTCATACTCTCAATTTACAGAAGTTTACTTGGTTCATGGTTTCAGGGGTTGCAGTCCGTGGTCAACTGGCACCAAGACAGAAATATCTTGGGACAGGGGCATGGTAGAACAAAACCACACATCCTGTGGTAGTCAGGAAACAGGGAAAGAAAGAGCCAGACAACAGCAGCCAGGGACAAGACATACCCTTCAAAGTCAGGTCTCCGGGGATGTATTTCCTCCATTTGGGCTCTACCTCCTCTAACAGCCCATGGAGCTAGGAACTCATCAATAGATTGATCCATGGATAAATTCAGCATCCTCACAATCCACTCACCTCTTGATCCGGTCAAGTTGATGATCAGGATTAACCCTTACTGGTAGCTTTTTAAAACAGACATGGTAGTTCTCCCTGAAAGGGCGACTTCCCCCAACAAGTTGACCGAAACTCATCACTTCCCAGACTGGAGAAGTTTAGTTAAATATGCACAATTTTATTGATTGAAGAGATTAGGACAAAAACATTAAACCAAATACAAGACAAAGCACCAGAGGCCATAGATCCCCACCATGCATGTCATCCATCTTTCCTCCTACCAGATACTTAAAAAACAGGGGAGAGGGAAGAATTAAGGTCCTTCTTGATGCAGCACCATCTTCAGAATGTAAAAAACCACTCTCCTCTATGTCTTCCATTATCAAAATAGAATCCAGGGCATCTCCTGGCCGCCTCGTCTCCCGACTGTGAACAGGGACACTGCCCTCCTGGGGACAGGGGCTCCGGCTGCACAGGGCATCAGAGAGTCCGCACACATACATGCCACGCACTAGAATAAAGCACAGATTCAAGTAACATTTACACACTAGAGTCCACGTGTTACCTACCAAAAAACAGGACCGTTTCACAAAACATGTACAGGCAGTGAGATCCAAACAACTGAGGTACTAGAAACACAAATATTTATGCCAAAAGAGTTCTGTATCATACAGCAATATAGAAAATACAGAAAAAAAGCGGAATAAAAAACATCTTTGCCACTCGCAATCAAATAAAGCTATCTAGAAAAGCCAAATCATAGGTTATTTCAGGGACAGAAATACTCAAACAAGAAAAAAAAAAACTATAAATGTTAACTACAGCATGTAACATGTCATCCCAAGTCGACCCGTAATTGAAGTACTGGCTTAATACATCACAATGTGACATTTTCCTTAATAAATAGAAGAGTTCTTGAAAATACAAAGGTGCGTATTGGGATAGAGAACTGTTTTTATTTATATCACCCTAGCTTTCAGCTTATTATTCTTCCCACTTTTTCTGTCCAAACCAGAGGGCCTTCCAAGCCAAAAGGATCATTCTTGGTAAAGAAAACAAAATAGCTGCCCTGTATTTTATACACATGGGACAACCTGCTCTGTTTCACTAGTTTCCCATAAAACAAAGACAAAATGTTTAGTCGAGATCAGAATGTCTGCAAAAATATCAGGCTCCAGGAGCTTCCTGGCCTCTTGGGCTAGCCGAATCATTTCAGCAAAGAATGCCCACAATTCAAACCCTCATTGCTCAGAAGGGAACAAGTCCACAAGGCCTGGAATTTCTCTTCTGTCTTCTTCCCCTTATTCTCCTTCAGACCATGGTAGGAGTAACGCTCTGGAAGTTTGACTTCTAATAGCTTCCTGACACCAACCAGTTGGTATGAAACAGAAGAGCCTGCTAAAGAAAACATTTCCCCCCTTCAGAAAGTAATGCATCAATCAACACGTCACTGCCTAATTAGGACATTAAATAGTTTATTTAGAAGTTGAGTTGAAGAGAGCCATGAAGAGACACCAACTGGATTTTTTTTCCTTTTAGTTTAGCACCCAGGTTCTAGGTCCGTCTGTGTGCACCGAATTATTTTTTAAGCAAATCCCATCAATTATCACATAGGTGGTTGGCTTGTTTTTTTAAAAACAAAACAAAACAAAAAAATCCTCGGCCAATTGTTCCTTCCCTGAATCATAACAAGAAGTTAAATGCTAACAGTGCAATGCCAAGAGGTGTGCTTGAGGCAGAGAGTTTTGATTCTATAAAGATCCACAACTATTTTGGAACAGAATGAAAAGTGGGGTAGGCGGAAGTGGTCCAATTGGCAGAGGGGTCTCCTGGGCTACATCAAGGAAGAGAAGCTCTAGGGCACCTCTTCGGTCTGATCCCAGCCTTGATCCCATGCCCACCCCCCACCACACCACACGTTTAATCGGCTCCTTGGAGGTCTGCCTACTGTGAACCATGAAACTCGCAAATGCCTGGCCAGGCCACGAATGTCCCTGGAAGATGTCCTTTCTGGGGCCCTCTCTCACTCCTGGTACCTGCTAAGTCTCTACCTGGGACTGAGCTCAGTTAAAGAAAGGGTCCAAGTTCTCTTCCATGTTGACATCCGGCACCAGCTGGTCCGACACTTCCTTAGCACCATACCCTGAATTCGAGACGCTAAAATCTGTAGCAAACCAAGGATGGTCCAGAATTTCCTGCGAGGTCAGCCTCTCCGAGGGCTCCCGCCGCAGAATGCTCCGGATGAGGCACTTGGCCTTGGGTGACAGGGTCTCTGGAATGTTGAACTGGCCGCGCCGGATCTTGCTGAAGAGGGAACTGGGCTCGATGTCGTGGAAAGGGTAGCGACCGACCAACATGGTGTACAGCATCACGCCCAGGCTCCACACGTCCGCAGCCTTGCCCGAGTAGCTGCCGCTGGTGTTCAGGATCTCGGGGCTGACGTAGGCCGGGCAGCCGTGCTTGTCGGACAAGGAATCATCATCTCCTCGGAGGATGTAGGCATCTTCCAAGCTTTCCAGCTTGACCCGGGTCCTGCAAGGAAGATAAGAAGACATGAGCGATGGTTGGGGGGGCTTCTCTCAGTCAACTGGGCCCCTGCTGGAACACATGAGAAGACTCACTCATTCACTCACGGGATCCAAATGGTTCCTCTCGGGCAGCTCCAGTTGTACAGATCTGGACAGGCTAGTGATCAAGACCGATAAGGTCTTTTCATAAATCTTGCAATATACCGGAGAACTCAGCTCTTTAACAACTAAGCAAACCACAAATTACATTCTAGTTGCCCCCTCTTGGTGAAGGTATGAGAGGTTAAGTGATTTTTCTCAAAGTCACCGTTGTGCAATGATAATTCACAGGATCCGAACTTGGATCTCACTAACTGGGAAATCCACAGAAGCTCTGCCTGCACTTTGCGGCTGGTGAGCAGAACAGTCTGCAAAGACCTTTCACAAGACTGCACATTGACCTCGCCAAAGTGCTGCTGTGAAGTCTGAGGGAACTGACCACTCCCTTCTGCAGATGAGAATACCATGCCTAAGAGTTTGAGGAGCATCCCCAAAGTCTTTAAGCTGGGAAATGGAGACTTCACTCCCTCTCTTGATCTTTCTGCTGCACTGGTTGCCTCTCTTGGGACAGAGGCAGAAGCAGGGACGGTTTGAGCAGAATTGGGCACCCGCCCCTGAGTTATTCCAAGGCCAGAACCCTGGAACCAGGTCCATTTCTTTCCCAGATTTCCACCTGCTGCCACACCCTGCCCCGCCTGCATCACCTGGGCACCCTGATGTGGCACTGACCCTGAGCTCTGCTCCCCACACCTCCTGCCTGCGCCACTGTCTGGGAGTCTGGCTTCTCATGTGTCTGTGTGCGTGTAAACACATGGCATGACCCCAAGATCCTTCTCAAGCCATTCACCCTGTCCCCAGGTGTCCTCTGCCCTCTCAGGACTTCTGGGGCTGCTGACCAGAAGCTGGGTCTGCCTGGATGAACCAGAGCAGACAGCTGGCAGCCTTCCACATTAGCCTCCAAGACCTTGGCACCTAAGGCTCACCATTACTATTGAATATCACCACTGGCCATCAAGTAAATAAAGACTCTGTCAGGTGTAGTCGTGCAGGCCTGACCCTAAAACTATTGGAAATCGAGGCAGGAAGAGGATCACAAGTTTGAACCCAGGCTGGGCATCCTGTCTCAAATTTTTTAAAAAGATGTTTAACAAATGGCTGAGGACGTAGCTTAGTGGATGGCCCTGGTACTGCAAAGATAAACTGTAAGTGTTTTGACTTCTATAATTAAAATATGCTGTGGGAGACACTGAGGGCCCAAATACAGAGTGACTTGTTCAAAGCGACACCTGAGCTTGGGAGTAACCGAGAGCTGGTGTCCTCTGTCCAGCGTCCACGCCCAGCCTCCTCTCTGTAGCCCAGCTGCCTCCTGTGATCCTGTTTCCCTGCCCTACTGTTGCTTGAGTGGAGAAATAAACGCTTCCCAAGCTTGAAGCCCGAATCCTCCTACTGGGGCTCCTCAAGCCACACAAGCTCGCTTAATCCAGGAAGGCTCAGAGAGGTGACTGAGGACAGGGAGGGGGTCAGTAATAGAGAGCACCTGCAATGTCACCTGTTCCCATCACCTCGGAAGTGCACATGCAAGGGTCCATCCTGCCTATCTGGAAGTGCTGTGGACCTCAAAGCTGCAAAGAGAAAATGCTTGGGAACAAGCACCAGGGACCTCCCTGGTCCTGAGTTCATCTGCTATTTCTCTTTCTTCATCCACCACCAGCCACAGGCCCTGGGTGACCCCAGCAACCACCAGCAGAGCCACACAAGGCAGACAGGGTTCAAGTCAAATCCAGGACAGCTTCAGTTTGAGGAAACCAAGTCTGGGTGGATTCCACAATCCCCATATTCATCTCCACCAGACAAAGGAACAACCACGGTCGTGGACAATGACCCGGGGCTAGAAGTGTGGGGAACTCTTTCAGTCCATCTCTCACCGGCTGTGCATCTGTGGCTAAGTTGACCAACTTCTCTGCTTCTCAGCCTTCAAGAGGAACATTGGAGAAAGCAGGTTTTTAACTTAAAAAACAATTTTTGGGTATGAGGAATTGAACCCAGGGCCTTTACACTGAGCTACATCTCCAGCCCTTTCTTTCTTTGATGATGATGATGATGATGATGATGATTGATGATGATGATGATTGTTATTATCTTGATACAGAATCTCATTAAGTTGCTCAGATCAGGCTCAAACATAATCTTCCCATCTCAGCCTCACAGAGTATCAGGAATGCAAGCATGGGCCACCAAGCTGGCCTCCATTCTTCTCCTGGGTATCGGTACACATGTGCGATACATAATAAATACATCCACCTGTGGGAACCGGTATGCATGTCACATCTTCTTGATCCTTTTTACTTAAAATTTCTTAATGTAGTGGGATATACATTATGTAAGGTTTTCCATCTTAACCATTTTTCAGTGCAGTTCGCTAGGATGAAATCCATTTACTGTCATGCAACCATCTGAACAAGACCTTCCGGTAACATGCCGAGACTCTCTAATGCACAGCAACTTGTCTTCCTTTTCTATTTGCTCTTCTGTCCTCCTTTCCTACTCTGTTGTCAGCTGCTTTTTTCTCCCCTGTCCCTGTAGCTAATGCCCTACAAAAATAGAAGGACCTAGCTGTGCTAATCTGCAAGTGAGCTGATTAAAAACAGATCTTTCTTCCTCTTGTCCCTTCCGGCCTATGATGGTGGGTGATACCAACCGACCAGACTGGCAGGATGTCCCAGATGGGTGGAACTGACTCATTGACCAGGGATGCAGAGAAGGGGTGCCAGGGCCACAGGACAAAGCAGCTCCTGTCAACAACCTCCTGCACCCCACTTTACCTGAAAGCTCTTGCCCAGGTGCAAGAGCAAGGCATAATCTTCACTTCCACCTTCCCTTCCTCGGCAGCCCAGCAGGATGGGAGTAATGAATAATGATGGAAAAAACTGAGGTGATCATTGTTCATGAGACATGGGCTGGGTCAGTGGAATTTGCGAGCTGAAGGCGATTTGGGAACAGGTCCTCTGCCCAGCCCTCTGGGGCTGTCTCGGCCCCTTAACATGGAAGTGTGCTACCCTTATGTTCCAGGTGACCCTACAGCTGCCCACAGTCCCCCCTCCAGCTCCAGCCAGCACTGCATGGCCCTGGTCCCTTAGGGGCCACTGCTGCTAGGAACCCTTTTCCCAGCCATGCACAGCCTCCCCTTCGCAGATCCCCCCAGAATGAGCAGCATGCCTGCCACGCCCCACTCAACTACCTGGGAAATGCCACACACCTAACACAGTTTGGCTGTGCAATTCCAGCTCTGGATATAACCCCTGTGGTCATTTGGAGGTGGTCCCTTCTTCCTCACCTCCAGAAGCTGGGGGCACAGGGCAGGACCTCAGCAGAGTCACGTCCTCCACTGCGGGGCCCCAGTGTGCTGACCTGGGCAGGAACCAAGGCCTCTCTGCCCTGGCTGCCTGGCCAGCGTCATGTGGTGGTTACAAGGAAGAAGCACCGTGCACAGGCTTTGGAAACCACAGTACCCAGACACCTGCGGGGTGAGGGTGGGACACAGATCTGGGTCAGAACAGAAACTGCTCCCAAGAGCTGGCGTCCTCTGTCCAGCGTCCAAGCCCAGCCTCCTCTCCCAGCCTGCACTTGTCCGGAGCCGGATCTCCAGCCTTGAGATTTTCGGGCCATGCTAAATCCACGCCCTCCTCCTTGTTCATCCTCTTCAGGGCACAACTGTGGATCCTGACTCATCACCCCCACCTGGCACAGATATGGGACTTAGCTGACGCCTGAGTCCTGCCTTGTAACAGCCCCCAACTGGAATTTAGCTCTCTTCATCCCCTACTCAAATTCAGAACTCAGAGGCTACACAGAGACTTGGTGAATGTGAAAAGGAAGCAACCAGGCCATCCCCACACTGCCCCAGAACTGATCTACCACATGCTGCATCCTCCTGCCTTACAGAGGTCTGGGCTGCGGTGGGGAAGGGCCTGGGGCTGTCCATCTCCTCCTCACTCCCCACCACAGAGCAGCTCCAAGAACCAGCCAGTCCCAGAGAGTGAAGTGTGCGCTGACACCAAACCTGAATTCAAGCTCTAGCCATACAATCTACTACGTCCCAGCCAGGGTGGCAGCACGTGCCTGTTGACCCCTGAACTTCAGAAAGCTGAGGCAGGAGAATCATGAGTTAGAGCCCAGCCTGGGCAAATGAGCAACTTCAAGAGACTTTGTCTTCAAGCAGGAAACAAAAAGGGCTAGGGATACAGTACAGTGCAAAGACTCTGGGTTCAATCCCCAGTACCCCAAATAAAAATGTTACTACACAGCAAAGGTCAGATAGCAAGGGTGCCCCTGGTGCATGCTAAACATCTACATCTAGGCTTCTGAGGCAGGTACATGACTCCCTTTTGTGGGCCCAAGACAAACTTGATGCCCAGAGAGCCTGAGGCAGGACGAGGCTGGTCAGCGTAGCGCTCACCCTTTGCCGGCCAGCCCCAGCCACACGCACCACTGGAGCCAACCATTTCCCTAGAGGAATCTGCATCCCAGGAAGCACAGGGAAGACGGAGATGAGGCCCTCAAGAAATGCAACCTTACTCCTCCTTGGGACACCCTGGCTTGTTTATGTCCCCGCAGGCCAAACGGAGTCTCTACACACTGGCCTTCCGGGATGCACATCCGGGGAGCAGAGGCAGTTAGGCAGGAAGCTTGGTTTCCAGGTCCAGTTCCTCAGCTGAGACTCCCAGGGCGGCTGCCCGGGACTCACGCCTTGGCCTCTCCTCTGGGCAAAGGGGCTTCATCACAACTCTCAGGACTGTGCCCAGTGCAGGCAGAAATGAGCAGGAATGGGTGAATGCCGGTGCAACTTGAAAGTCCCCCAGACAGTCTGGGGATGATGGATTTCCCAGGCAAAAGAGTCACTCACCGTAAGAGTCAACAGGACACTCAGGGGCCTAGTCATTCAAATGTCCCACTCAGCGTTCAGGC